AGGACGGTTTACAAGGGATTTCTTAGCACAAATCAACATTTACAACATTAAGGCAATGCTAATTCGGTGTAGAAATGTTGGGTTTTGACGAATCTTTTGGTACATAATTGTTAAGCTCCCTCCAATTTCGAGTGAAAGTTAGTGATGAAGAGATTCGAAAGTCGGCCCCATCAGAGAACCATGGCAAATTCTCTTGACCAGCTGTTGGTTTGTTATGTGAAATTCATATTATTATGGGAAAATGTAATCATCTTAGACGACCTCATATTATTCCAGTCTGACCGGCTTGAACTGTTCCGCAGAATCCACTCAATCTGCCCAATTTGGCCTGGCCTCCTTTTGTCCCTTTTCCTCTCCTCTTTGGCCCACCCTCAGAGCCCATTTTCCTTCCTCTTTCCTTCCCATTCCTACATCGCCCTCTTCCACATGACCTTCCATCAGGATCCCTCCTCGGCTAACAGGTGAGAGTGAACTCCCATTGGATCGCCTAATTCACAACAACTCTCGCCTCACCTTACTTCCTCTCCCTTATTCGTGCATTCATGCACCCGCCAAAGTGTTGTTGCCTCCGCTCTTATCATATCGGCCTTTTCCCCAAACCATCTGCCTCTGCGGCAGAGGGACTTTTGTATTTGCGGTCGCTAGCCTGACTCCCTGCCCATCTCTGTATCCATCCCCCACGTCACCGTCTATCCATCCATTGTTCTGTCACTGGTCTGGTCTGACGTCCTGGTCTCAGACACAAATGGTCGATGCCATTCAGAGACAGAGACGAGTTGCTAGCCGTCCTCCCTACGAAGTTGGAGGGGATGTCAAGGTTGGGCAAAGCAGAGTATAGAAGGGTAGAGGTGCAACATGTCTGCAAACAAGGCATTCGCCATACCCGGCAAAAGATGGGAAAAGTGGCGGGTGGGTGGGCATACTCTGGAAAGACCAAGACGCTATTGGTGTCTTGACTGTATGCCGCGTATGCTTTGAGAAAAGGTGGCCGGAGAGAGAGAGAGAGATATTGTGTGAGGGTGAATGTAGAAGGGGTCGAAGAAGGCAAACAGGCATAGGAAAAAGCCTATTGAGGATAGTGTGACACAGAGACGATGCGTGACTGGCGTGGAATTTGGGGGAGACAGCCCCAGAGATAAGGAATGCGTGAGGAAATGTCCGAGAGATGGGCTGCACCAGAATCTCTCCTTACTCCCCTCCTGCACGAGAAGACACACCTACACACAGCCGCAAGCACAAGCCAACTCCAAACAGGGCTCAGCTCGTGCCAACACGGGCCTAGAGAACACGTACTGGAGGCCAAGTCTTTGAGGCGTGTCTACGCTAACACGGACAGTGAAGCGTAAGTGAACCTTGTGAATGCTTCTTCGTTTGCTCTTAGGGAGGTGTGTCTAGTTGAGCTCGACTGGACGGGCTCAGTCCAGAGTTCTACAGTCCGAAAGAGAAGTCTCCCCCGTACTCGTCTGTGTTACCCTCCTCAACATCTTATGTGTGGAGAAATTTCATCTCCTCCATTTGTGATTTCAGAGCCACTTCGGAATAAATTGACTTTGCGGTGACGCTCATCTTCTGGCTTTCTGTGGAAGATCTTTAAGCCTCACCGCTACGCCACAGATTATCGGATCTATCCGTTGGCCTACAGTCGACATTTTCTTTGAAATAGCCATCAGCACGCAATGATGCATGAAAAATGCATTATTGCAAGCCTTTTTAATAAGGGTAGAATTGTCCCAACTTGTACAAAACCTTCTCCGAGACTGGCTCGCCACGAATTATCCCTTCATCTCAGCATCCACAATTTAAAACTTGCCATTTACGATCAAGTCTCACTTAGAATGTATTGATGAAACTATATTCTCACAATTTATGTTGCGACATCTGAGTCCTAGAGAAAGTCCCCGTTTTGGTAAGTATCATAACCTGGCATATTGAATTTACTTATTATTTCGAGTCTTTTTATTCTAATACTTTTCAAGACTAAAAGTCACTTTTTTTTGCCACCATAATTTTTCGATTGTAAGTATGGTTTTGAGACTACCAGTAAATCAGTTATACGAGATGTGTTGAATCTATTTCATTTAAGGTGAAGAAGACCTGACTGGCAATTGAATTTTCCCAATGATATGAGTAGAGCTGACGTTTCCATTTAATTTCACATAGCCTTGCTTTACCAAAAGTTGTTCTCATCCAGGGTGGACTGCAGTTTCGACCTCTCATAGGTCTTATCATCACCCCAAGCAGGAGTCGAACCACGACAGTGCAGCGTGTAAGCTCGACAGGTAATTCACTACGCCACATTGCCACAATTGTGTAGATGTGCATTTCAAGGAGATCCAGACATTTTTCCATAAAACATACTTTAGTGGGATTGTAGATAACGCAAAGTTGTATTTGTTATAGCAATCATCTAAGTTACTTATTTTTCAATATAAGTAGCCTTTCGAGACTTGGCTTTCACAATAAAATCTCAGGGTTGCAACCATGCTATCAGATTTTATTTTGCGACAACTGCGTCCTAGAGAAAGGCCGAATTTTGATCCCTGGTATATTATATTCACTTATTATTTGAAGCCTTTTAATGATATTAATAGTCTTCGGATCTATCACTAACTTACGAATAAGAACTCCGTCACTATAAATCGATCTTTAAGTTTTTTCACAATCATACGAGTAGGTCTCGGGAAGTATTTGAAGTTTACTTAACCTTGCCTCCCAAATGTCTATCTTATTCAAGCTAGACTAGAGATCATCAGCACCCCCTATTGTATTGGTTACCGTTACTATTCAACTAAACAGTAATGGATGCCAAAGTAACACAGTGTAGTCAAGATTCTTCGTAATCACATTTTATAGTGGAATTGCCAATTGAACAAACATGTATTTGCCATTATAATAGACGATTTTACTCTTAATATATATGAGTAGTTTTCAAGATTATTAGTAATTCTTGAATAAGAATTTGGCCATTCTGTCGTTTAAGGTGTGCTTTTAGATCACTCAAAAAATCATCAAAAATTGGACAACATTCAGTTTAATCGACATTATATAAAGACTAGGACGATGTGGTCCTTGGTATGGTCGCAGTCTCCTTTCGATGTATAGAAGTAGGCTGACCCCGTTTTTGCCAATTTGTCGTGTTGTCAGGGCGACCTAGTTGGAGGCGCCTTGTCCGAAGTCCTCTGCTATAGTAGTCATCATAATTCCCTGCGTCTGACCATGGACTCGGT